TCTCCCGAGGGGTCCCAGACTGCGAGAGGGCACAGGCCAGGCTGAGGGACCCCCCCTCCCTCCCGAGTGCACAAATTTTTGTGCACCGGGCCTCTAGTACAAAATAAGAGTCTGAACAACTCAGAGAGATCAGACTTATACCAAAGTGTTAATTTTCAGATAGTTATTTAAATATACACTTACGTAAAGGATTAAAATTCCCTTATATCAATTACAAAACAAATTTTTTTGCTAAATTATATATAGTTTAGACTAAAACCTGTGGGATTTGGTAAAGTGATGCCAGAGAAATCAAGCATCACTCGAAGTTGTCAGTTTGCTTTTTGCAAATACAATTTTAATAGTCCAAATTTCAAAATATTTTTATTTTTTAATTTTATCTTTATTGTTGAAAGTATTACAGATGTCCCTTTTCTCCCACTGACCCCCTCCACACTGTTCCCACCCTTTCCGCAGGCCTTCAAACCCTATTGTGTGTGTCCATGGGAGTTATGCATATATGCATATAAATTCTTTGATTAATCTCTTCCCACCTCACCCTCTTTTCCTTCCCTCTGAAATACATCAGATTGTTAAGTGCTTCAATATCTCTGGTTCTATTTTGTTTGTAAGTTAATTTTGTTCAGTAGATTCCACATATATTAAGATCATGTAATACTTGTCTTTCTCTGTCTGGCTTATTTCACTTAGCACAATACTCTCCAGGTCCCTACATGCTGTCTGAAAATGTAATAATTTTTTTTACACCTGCATAGTATTCCACTGTGTGCAGTAAACCAGATTCGGGGCTGACAGTGCCCCAGCAACAACATAACCCACAGTTGAAGGTGGAATTGCGCAGCCCCATGAGGAATCGGGCTCCCTCCTCTTTGGTTTTGAGGTGCGTCACCCAAGAACTGCTGCTGCCAAGTCACTGCAATTCAGCAGCTCCTGCATTGAGAGTCTGCCCCCTGGTGGTCAGTGCACATTATAGCAACCAGTTGGACAGTAGGAAGGATACTTAGCATATTAGCCTTTTATATATAGAGAGAGATGCTCAAAGTCACTAATCATGCGAGAGATGCAAATAAAAATGATAATGAGGTACCATCTTACACCTGTCAGAATAGTTATCATCAACAAATCAACAAATGACAAGTGCTGGCGAGAATGTGGAGAAAAGGGTACCCCTGTGAACTGCTGGTAGGAATACAGACTGGTGCAGCCACCGTGGTGTTTCCTCAAAAAATTAAAAATGAAATTTCCATTTGACCCAGTAATCCCACTTCTAGGAATATATCCCAAGAAATTAGAAATACCAATCAGAAAGGATATATGCACCCCTATGTTCATAGTAGCACAATAGCTAAGATTTCAAAACAGCCTAAGTGTCCATTAGCAGATGAATAGATTAAAAAACTGTGGTATATCTACACAATGGAATACTATGCTGCCATAAAAAAGAAAGAACTCTAACCATTCACAACAGCATGGATGGATCTGGAGAGCATTACACTAAGCGAAATAAGCCATTTGGAGAAAGGTAAGTATCACAGGATCTCACTCATCCTATCTAATAAAAGACTGATATGTAAATCAACCATCACTCCACAACAAAGATGGCGGAGCCCATAGTGGCCGGGGCGGGATGCTGGCAGCGTTGCCCCAGTAATGCAAGCCCAGCGCCTGCACCCCGGATGCACGGAGGGTGGGGAGGGGCCTCGGGCCAGAGGGACCTCAGCATGTTTCTAAGCGTGCTGAGCCCGCAGCCCAGGCACCCAACACCCACCCAACCTTGCTCCTACTCCCCCAAGCCAACCTCCAGAGCCTCACATCAGACTCCTGAAGCCAACGCAGGCAAAGGCACACCCCTAGCTCTCTCCCCCTCCTTCACCTCAACTCCCCGCACCTAGCTGAGAGGCTCTGGAGAGTCTGCTGCAGATCTCCCAGCCAGCACCTCCTGGGCGCCTGCCGGTCCCTATAAGTGCACCCCTTTCTGCACCCGCCAGTTCCACCATCCCATTTCCCCAAGCTCCCTATGGCGTCTGGCTCTCACCCACATCCCTACTGGCTCCCGAGATCCCCAGTCTCTCCTGCACCCCCACTCTCTTCTGCACTCCGATCCTTTCTGTGCTTCTTTTGCCTCCTGCATTTAGCTCCCTCCTGCGCCCCCGCTCCCCTGGCTCCCCATCTACCTCCAGTGACCAGATTTCCAGCCTGGCGAGCCCACACTCCCTTTCGTGAAGAGGGAACCTCGGCATCCTCTAAGCACCCGAGAGCTTTGGACAGCCTGTCCACGAGGGTTGGAGGAGTTTAGCTGAGAGATTGTTCCTCAGGTCAGGCAGCCTAGTGGAGTGTAAAATCCTTTCCCCTTCTAGCGGGGACCCGTCAGCTTGTGCCCTGCCAGCTCCGGGGATTGAAAGAGGGTGTTCATGGTTAAAGGAAACTTTCCAGCAGAGCGCCTGGCTAAAGCAAACCACGATCTATCAGGAATGCTCTGTGTGCACTGTCTTGCCAGGAGCTTGCGTTCCACTACAGTAGATGCAGCAAGGAAGCAATGATTAGTGCATCTGACAGCTAACGCTGAGGACCAGTAGGAAAAACACACACTCCCCAGTCCTAGCTAGCGAATCTGAGTATGATGCAACCATGTGTGCCTGTATGACAAAGAGAGAGGCTTAAGGAAACAAACGTTTAAGAGTAGAGTAAATGACACTGCCACTAAGAAAGAGCACACTTAATTACACTTTGGACTTTTCACAGTCAGTAAGGACACCTGTATTTTGTGCTTTATGATTCACATGATCTGATCATTTGAGTGGGGCCAATATAAACAAAAAGGCACTGTTGGTTTTGGTAATGAACTGAGATTTCAGATTTCTTGGTTTTCTCCTTTGCCCAAGTTCCCAGATTCTCAAAACTCTAGGATTAGTTTTGGGAGGGATGAGAGAACAAAATATGTAAATACTCAGGAGGATTAAAATCAGATAGTAGTTGAGATGATAGCCATGGTTTTTGAGTTGGCAAATGAATCGGTCTGAAATTCGTGAACCTGGCCTCTGGCTAGGCTGGGCGCAGAACACTTGCGTCATTGCAGGCCGGGTGAGGGACCCCCTCCCATGCACGAATTTCGTGCACTGGGCCTCTAGTTTGTGGAATATAATGAACAACATACACTAATGAACAAAATCAGATTCAGAGTCAGAGAAGCATCAAACAGACCATCCAACCTCAAAGGAAAGATGGGGGGGTCAGGGAGGAGGGCTAAGGGGTATCCACCAAAGGGCTGTATGCATGCATATAAGCATAACTCTTGGACACAGATAGTAGGGAGGTGCGGGCATGTGCTGGAGGGTGTGAACAGCCGGGGAGAGGTCAATGGGGGAAAAGGAGACATATGTAATATTTTAAGCAATAAAGAATTTAAATAATAAAATACCAAAAAAAAGAAAGAAAATAATGACAATTTTACTTCCTCCTTTTCAATTTGGATGCCTTTTATTTTTTCTTCTTGCCTGACTGCTATGGCTAAGACTTTCAGGACTATGTTGAGTAAGAGTGGACATCCCTATCGTGTTCCTGTTCTTAGGGGAAATGCTTTTAATTTTTGCCCACTGAGTATGATGTTAGCTGTAGGTTTATCATAGAGGGCTTTTATTATGTTGGGGAATGATCCCTCTATTCCCACTTTGCTGAGTTTTTTATCAAAAATGGATATTGGGCCAGCCTGTATAACTCAGTGGTTAAGTGTGAATCCATGTCACAGTTTAATTCGGTCAGGGCACATGCCCAGGTTGCAGGCTTGATCTCCAGTAGGGGGCTTGCAGGAGGCAGCTGATGGATGTTTCTCTCTCATCAATGTTTCTATCTCTCCCTTCCTCTCTTTCTAAAATCAATAAAAATAATTTTTAAAAAGTGTTGGATTTTCCTGAAAGTTTTTTCTGCATCTATTGATATGATCATGTGGTTTTATGTCTTTCAATTTGTTTATGTGATGTATCGCATTTTTATTTTTGTTATTATCATCTGCAGAGTTCTTTTCACAACTGTATAATGTGAAATTTTGAAATTTTCACGGGTTCGTACACCTGTGGAGTCCCTTGGCCTGGCCTGTGCCCTCTCACAACCCGGGAACCCACCGGTGCATGATCGGGGCCGGGAAAGGCTCCAGGGTGTGTCTGGCCCATCTCGCCCAGTCCCAATCAGCCAGACCCCAGCAGCAAGTTAACCTACCAGTCAGGGCATCTGCCCCCTGGTGGCCAGTCTGCGTCATAGCTACTGGTCGAATGGTTGAGCAGTTGCTTAGGCTTTTAAATATATAGATGGGCAATACCATACAAAGGAGGGTTACACAGAAGAATTATTTTACCTCTTGCCTTAAGTTCATCTTCTTCTTCCACTTCTATGTCCAGATCATCAAACACAGCAACCAGAGGAGTTTTTAATGTCGTGTTACTGGGTATTTTAAAATCCTTGATAACAGAACAGACAGTGGACTTAAATCCTTAGGTTAAAAATTTTTTAATTTTATCTCATATATACCACTACAGTCTAAAATTTAGGAAATGTTATTTTTAAGTAAGAATTCACATTATTGCCCTAGCTAGTTTGGCTCAGTGGATAGAGCATCGGCCTGTAAACTGAAAGGTCCCAGGTTCGATTCCGGTCAAAGGCACATGCCCGGGTTGTGGGCTCGATCCCCAGTGGGGGACTTGCAGGAAGCAGTCGATCCATGATTCTCTCTCATCATGGATGTTTCTATCTCTCTCTCCCTCTTCCTTCCTCTCTGAAATCAATAAAAATAGATTATAAAAATTTAAAGAAGTATCATTTAAAAAAATTCACGTTATTATCAATTAGAACAAAATTTACGTTTATATTTTGAAAGTAATAAGGATCTCTATCTAGAATAGCATGTCACTCTACCTTTATTAACATATGTACTTGAATGACAAAATCACTTGTGACTTTTTTGAACTTGAACACAATTCACTCCAATTCAGTAAGGCCACATTACAGTTTAAAAGACCTAAGTGCACATATCCTACATTGTCTTTTCAGATTTTTCATGTTTTTTACAAGCTTTTCCATCATAACATGCTAACTTATCTCTAGACTTCTACAATCTTTCCTGATAATTATTATACTTATTTATCCTTTTCTGCATGTGAAATAATTCATTTGTTTTAAATAGAAATAAAATACTCCAATACTAATTCACAAGAATTGGCTTAACTCAGAGGTTGCAATTGGTGACCTGTAATGTCAAATGCTGGCCCACACTATTTAACAACAACAATAAAAAAGCAAAATTTGAGCTAATATTTTAAAAATTGAGAGAGCTTACATAAAAATCTGATTTGGCAAGTTTTCTTGTAATAACAGATTATCAAAATATATTCAGTTGCAGAAGGAAACTGAATAGTAGCATGTACTCAGCATGTGCTCCGATTCTCCAATGTGTAGCTTTATTCCATCTCTATGATGCATGCATATTCCTTACACTGACCCACTTTATCTTTCTGGCATCTGTAGGTACTGAACATCTGAGTAGGCCCCATATTCTCATTTTGTTATATTTAAATCAGAGCAATGCAGTCTTTAAATAAACCATTTACCGCCTAGAAAAAATTTCTATTTGAAAAATCTTAATATTTCAATGGTTTCCAATACTGTTATTTTATAACTAATGCTCTATTCACACAGCCTTTAAATTTTATACCTCTAAAAAATTTGTACAAATAACTTTTTCCCCCCTCTAGTAATTTTTCAATAATGAACCATCAGGAAGTTGCATGAAATTAAAGTAATGTCTTTTATGTACTCTACATGTAACTCATCAGAGAATTATTTATAAGTCATCAGAAAAGTATCAGTACATTTATTCAACCAGATTCAACATTCACTAAGAGTATGTAATCTCTTCTAGCAGAAATGGCAACTGATAGCTGTTTTAACTTACTTTTCTTTAGTCAGTGATGATCATTTTCTCAATGTGTTTATTTGTACTTCTTTGTGAACTATCTGCGCTTATTCTTTTAGGCACCTTTTGTGTACTGCCCTTGTAAAAACTGTTAGCAGTTCCTTACGTGATTAAACTTTTAGTTATCAAATTTTTGTTAAAAACATAAGATTGTTCAAGAAAACTTATTCTCAAACTACCAGAACACTCCAGAGAAGGCAAAACCACATTTCTGAGTGATAAATAGGTATCAATGGGAGAAATAGTAATAGTGGTGACTTATTAATGAGAGCCATTCAAAACTATGAATCTAGAAATGCAACAAGTATACCTTGTCCAAAACCTAATCATCTTAATTTATAAGTGTGAGGCAAGCAAATTTACTACCATACATGTCTACTATCAGAATGTGATACAAAGATACAACAAAAAAAATCTAAGAGAGTTGGTATCAAGGACAATAACATATGTGTGGAAAAAACTCACTAATGTGTTAATTAAACCATATAGAGCAAATGATGACTAGAATAAGTTAGAAGCCAACTATTTTAATTTTCCATTTCCCTTTTCCTGTATTTTTATGACTGGAAAATTCTCAAAATTAAGTGGTCAATCTTTGCAAGCCTATACATATTTTATAACCAAAGATTGATGCTAAGCTTTAATATATTCTATCTGGTTTTCAATTAATTGTAAATGTTGAGAGTAATACAAATGGGGATGAAAAGGGGAAGTAAATGAGGAAAAGGGAACTGAATTAGTATTTGTTATTCCCTATCAAAGAAGGCCTACCACCTCTCCAAGAATCAGACCTGCTAGAAAAAGATAACACTATTTAAACCAGATTTTTGGTTATTTTAAGTTTTTAAAACACATCAGTTGCTTTCCATCTTCAGAGAGATAGTAACTGTCTCACCCTAACCAGGCATTCTACAAAAGAACAAAGGCCAGCCTCAGTATTTGAACTGAGAAAAAGAGTCACATTGCAGATATTTTTCACAGTAGAGGTTTGTTGGGGTTCTTTTAAATTTCAACTACATGACAAATTCTGAAATTATTATCTGGAAATATTTGATATTATAATTAATTGGATTTAGATTATTACCTGGACATTGTTTTCTTGTGTTTGGTGAACCGGTCTTATGTGAGACAATGAAGGCTGAGTTCCTAATTTCCTATCCAAAAATACTTCTTTGCTGCAAGCATAACACCATACTCGCAGAGTGGTAAGGTTCACAGTTAAATAATGCTTTGTTTCCTGTATAATTTCACGGGGACAAAGAAGAGGAACCAGAATTAGGTATAGTTGAAAACATTTCAAAAAAGCATAGAAGATAAACTGCTGGCCTTTGATCAGTAACAACATACTCCAAAGAGAAGAGTTAAAGGTGAACACCAAAAATCATTCTTTCGATAAACTGCTGAAGTATTCTGAATAGTAGTAATATCTAAGTCTACTCTAGAAGTTATTCTATTGTCATTTTTCAGCACCATTCATTATAAAAATAAAACACAACAGTATAACTCTGCTTTGCAGTTAGCATGTAAGCATAATACAAGAAAATAATTGACAATAACACAGTGTCTAGGAGATCAGAATGGCAAAAGAATAAACATGACATTAGTTAAAGCACAAAATAGCTCAAGTAATAGTGAATATATGAACTTAGCCTTTCTCAACTGGATTTCTGTAAGGGAATTATGCCCTATAGAAAATGATTTGAGCAACTATTTTCTCATTTCTACCAAGATTGGTACACAACACTAACACCCTAGATCAGTGGTTCTCAACCTTCCTAATGCTGTGACTCTTTAATACAGTTCCTCATGTTGTGGTGACCCCCAATTTCATTGTTACAAATTGAACATAATTAAAACATAGTGACTAATCACAAAAACAATATGTAACTATATATGTGTTTACCGGGTCTTAGGTGACCCCTGTGAAAGGGTCGTTAGACCCCCAAAGGGGTCGCGACCCCACAGGTTAAGAACCACTGCTCTAGATGCACAGAAGTAAATTAAGTACAATCATGCCTGAGGGTCTCGAGGTATTCGGGCTTAATTGACTGAGTTGAGGAACCCTAGTTAAGAACAGCTGATGCAGTAGAGATATCAACGCGAAAAAAGTTCATTCTCGAGAAACTTACAGTTTAGAATGGGAGCAAATTTTCAAATTATAACTTCAATTAATAATGTTATATTTGCTTTCCCTCTCCTTCAGGCTTTCTTTAAAAATGCCTTGCATTAAAATTTTCTATATACATACCTGAGAATGTATGGTGCTGTGATCTACTTGTGATTCACCACAGCCAACATATGAACATCTATTCTATAAATAATTATACAAAAAGGAAAATAAAGTATTTTAGAACAAGTGTCACATTACAATAACAGCATTGCAATTACATTTACAATTAAATTTTGATGATTTTTTACCACGTTTTTTAACTTAAGGATCAACTGACTTTCCATAGTTATTTTAACTAAAAGATAATAGGCACAAAAGAATAAAACCAGAATATTTCTAAGCTAAAAGTTGTCACCCCTAATGAAAAACGAGCATAAAATATTTTAGTAATTTACTAAAACTCTGTGAAAAAGCTGTAAATTAAAACCCAAAGTTTGAAGTTTAATTTTGGTCATCAAAAATTTCATTTGTCCTGGCCAGGGGCTCAGTTGGTTGGAGCATTGTCCCGTGCACCAAAGAGTTGCAGGTTCCATCCCCAGTCATATGGGAGGCAACTGATCAAAGTATGTATGTATAATTCATTCATTTATTCATTTCTTTTCCACTCCCTCTAAAATCAATAAAAACATACCCTCAGATGGGGAGAGGCTGGATTAAAAAAATATGTTCATTTATGAAATATTTTAAGTGTCAAAAATACCTTCTAGTTATCCTTATCCAGATATAAAATTTGATAATATCAAACATTTGAGAAGAAACATATATATACCTCCAAGCACGCCCAAAGATTTGGTCCTCTGACTTTACAATCTTGACAAGTACTCTATGAAACAAAAATCACATGGACAACATTATCATTAACATAGGCAAACACATATAATTCACTAATAATATCTTATGTAAAAAATCTGGACTCCTAAACACAAGAGTATTATAGTAACTTACAAAAAACACATTAAGGAGAAAGTGAATATGATATTTTAAGGAAGGAAAAAAAGTAATTTTCTTACATGAGATTTTTGTATTAACTCTTCTTTCGTTATTTCACCAACTGAGTCCAAATGTGAACAATGATTTCGAAAACCTGGCATTTTATTATAAATTTTCTCCTGTTTCCCGGGGCCTTCCAAATGAGGTAATACCTATGGAAAAAATAACCAAAAGTTAATTTTAAAATGCGAAGATATTAAAGGATCAAATAAGAAACACACAAGAGTATATCTTCAAATATACCTAGATTACTTTCATAAAGTTAATTTAAACACTGAAAATGTCTCTACTAAATATTTTATTAAAATTGATATTCATGAATTCATGTTGTTTGTTTCTCTGTTACTTTTACAGCTTTTCCCCCTTTCTCCCTCTCATTTTACTTTTTACAAATAAATGAAAGGGAAATTTTCAAATTATTCAATTTAATATTTTTAGCCTTTAAAAAAATGAACACTTATATTGAAATAGAAACTGAAAAGAAAATTCAAATGGATACCTTTATTTTCAAACTAGCAGTAGCCCCTTCTGAAAATATATTAGTAAATGAAATTGTCTGATATCCTAGCAATCTACGAGGATACTCACTTTATATCAAAGTTTCTCAACCTTAGCACCATTGACACTTTGGGCCAGATAATTATTTCTTGTGGGTACTGTCCTGATGTTTAGCATGATTTCTGCCAGAACACTCTCACCACCACTCTAAACTTTGATAACCAATATCACTACACAGTGTAAAATTATGTCCTGTAGAAGGCAAAATCGCCCCAAGTTGAGAATCACATTATAATATGACCCTTTCAACAACTGTGAGTGAGGTAGGTACCATTATCTTCATTTGCATCTAAGGCTACCGAGGCAAACCTGACCGAGTTCACCCTGTTAACACTTGGTGAAACTAGGACTTGAATTCACCTGTATATCTTATGGGTAAAAGCAAGGACTTTGAAGTCAAACCTGAGGATAACAGTAAGAGCAGAATTGCATACCTAACTTATGGGGTTACTGCAAGGATTTAATGAGGTAGTATATGTCATGTGTGAGTGTATGTGGGCATGTGTGTGTATACACAGTACTGCACATACATCCTAAATAATAAAAGGCAAGTGACCGTAACAGCATAATGACCGGAATGACAGATCGACCAGTCGCTATGAGGTGCACTGACCACCTCTCGGTCCCTCCCCGCAGCCCACAGGCTCTGATCACTGGATGGCCAATGGGGAACCACAGGGATCTGGGGTGGGTGGTGGCGGCGGGGCAGGACTGGGGACTGGCAAGCGGGTAGAAGATGGCCCTGATCGCAGGTTAGGCCTAGGGACCCTAGCTAGACACGATTTCGTGTGCTGGGCCTCTTGTATATTCATAAAATTCTATTGGGCTCTCTGCATCACCTCTTTATACAGTGTTTCTTTAATATGACCAAAAAGGTCTGATACTTCTCTCCCTATGAGACCACCAGTTTAAGACTGAGGTAGTTTCCCCAATTAATTATAATTTTCCCAGTATTTTTCAAGTTTCCTCAATTTCATTAAAATAAACAGAAGGCAAAGTGTTCTGCAATACCAATCCACTTAATTTCTCCAAGACATCATAATAACTTATGAGAAAAGAATGATCAGAATACTGGAAGGTCACTAAATTTTATCTATCTCCACTACAAATTTTATAAATTATAGTGTTAAGTGGATATACAGAGTGATTTCCAAATAAGTCTCAAATCTAACTCAGTATTTCTCCATCTTCTTTGGGCTATAAATTCTTAATAATAGGGCTTTTCATGTCATTATTTTATCTTTGGAGTTTGAGAATACCAGGGGAAAATTAACTTAACAGGAAAGAATAAAGGTTATAAAGAATAAAGGTTATAAATATTAATACATTAATAAAAACATTAAACAAAAACATATGGCTAAATCAAATCAAATAATGAGTCCAATATTATACTGTTGCCTACAAAATACAATAGGAATCATCCTCTGGGGTTAATAGAAAATAAATGATTATTTCTAAAACATTACACACACACACACACACACACACACACATATGGCTAAATGATCGACCTACTGTCTGTCCAACCATCTGACCCAGTGGTTCTCAACCTTCTGGCCCTTTAAATAGAGTTCCTCATGTTGTGACCTAACCATAAAATTATTTTCGTTGCTACTTTATAACTGAGTAATGTTGCTACTATTATGAATCATAATGTAAATATCTGATATGCAGGATGGTCTTAGGTGACCCCTGTGAAAGGGTCGTTCGACCGCCAGAGGGGTCGCGACGCACAGGTTGAGAACCACTGATCTGACCGATCAGTAAAATGATGCACACTGGCAATTTAAAATAAACGTTGATTTGTGCTTGTGCGATACATGTAAAGCTCTTGCTGCTGCCAATCGCATGTGTGCTTCGATCTGTCATTGTCGATCCTGAATTTAGTTGTTTTCGTTGACATTCAACATGAACCACATCGCGATTTATTCGACTGTCTGACTTACCGACCAGCAGGGACATATGATGCGCAATGGCAATTTAAAAATAAACATTGACTCGTGCATGCGCGATACATATAAAGCTCTTGCTGGTGCCAATCGCATGTGTGTTTTAATTTTATAATACCACTAGTAGCACATCGCGTGATATCGCACGCAGTAGGCCGCTCGCTGCTTCCGCGGGAGCTGGCAGGAACCGCAGTGCGCAGCCGGAAGCCACACTGCTTCCACGGGAGCCATGTGGCTTCCGCGGGAGGCAGAAGCAAGTGCCAACGCTCACGGGAGCTGGGAGGGTGCCGTGTGCTGATTCCGTGGGAGGTGGGCCCACCGTCTCCTCTCCAGGCCTAAGCTTGGCCTCAGAGGCTGTGGGCCAGCCCCTGTGTCTCTGTCCATGTTCGCTCCGGCTTTGGGTGACCGGCCCAAGCCGGAGCACGGCAGCTCACTGACCCCTGCCTCTGTCTCTATCTCCACTCCAGGCCTCACATGTGCGTGCAACCTCCCACTGTCCAGTTGTGACCCATTACGGCATCCCGGCCTAATTTGCATACTTTCTCTTTATATATATATACTAGAGGCCCGGTGCACAAAAATTTGTGCACTCAGGGAGGGTGGGAGAAGTCCCTCAGCCCGGCCTGTGCCCTCTCGCAGTCTGGGACCCCTCGGGGGATGACCACCTGCTGGCTTAGGCCTGCTCCCGGGGGGTCAGGCCTAAGCCGGCAGTCAGAAATCCCTCTGGCAGCCCAGAAGCCCTTGGGGGATGTCCACTTGCCAGCGGTGAGCAGGCCTAAGTTGCAGTCGGACATCTTTAGTGCTGCTGAGGAGGCAAGAAAGGCTCCTGCCACCACTGCTGTGCTGGCAGCCATCATCCCTCTCAGGCATCTGGGGTTTGTTTAGCTTCTGTAATTGCAACTTTGTTGTTTAGAGTGGGGCTCAGAGCCCGGCAGCAGCAGGGAGAAAGCTTGGCTTCCTCCATCACTGGAGCAAGCAAGCCTCCTGCTCGCTTCAGCTGCTTTAGCGGGCTTTGCTCCCTTCTCCACTGCTTCGCTCCAGCCTCAGGAAGCCCTATTCTGCAGGAATAGGCCTGAGGAAGCCCTATTCTTGCAGGAATCTTCCTGCAACAGGCCTCTAGTATTAAGTAAGCCATGACCCAAACATTTAGAGCATGAAGTTAAACTTAAAATAACTGCTAATATTTTTCATTTCTTAATGTTTGGGGGGAGGGTTTGACAACCTTTCCAACCCACCTCTCACTTACTTTTGTGGTTAGGTATCTCTTACCTCTTAGATAATTAATTCCACTGCCAGCCATGATGGAGTAACAAGGAGGAGATTTACTTTCTCACATTAAATAACTAAAAAGCCAGGCAAGATACATAAAACAATGGTTTTCAGGTATTGCACTATAATAGGCATTGTAGGACACTGATCCCTTAGATGATAAAAACAAGGTGACTGTCCCAGCTTACTGGTTGGAGAAAATTTCTAGGCCACAGTACAGGTAGAGAAGCTGAAAATTCAGTGAGGCCAAGGTTGCTAAAAATCACAGCCAAATAACAGAGAGGAAAGAACTAAACAGAGAGTAAGTGAACTCACAAGATTTATAGAGAGATACCATTGTCTTCATCTGAGTACTAATGAGCATGTGCGTGTGATTAAACTACCCTAAGCAGGAGAAAGAACTACTGGAAAGGAATAGGTAAAACAATTCTCAAAGCCAACACAAGTTTGTGTTCCCATTAGCCAGAGTTGAAAGGCTTCATAACATACAGTTAATAAAACAGAGCACTTAGAAAGCTCTGCCTTAAAAAGGCTTAAAGCAAGTATTATAGTATCAAACTGTCTCTAAGAAACATAACTGTTTCCAAAACAATGCTGAAAGATATTTAAGGAAATGAGCT